ATAACTAAACACAAAGGTTGTAGAACGGATAGTGGGGTAAGAGAACGACTTGAAACTTCCCCACTTGCACTTGGAGGAGTGTGAGACTGAGAGCCACTAATGAATAGTAACTCAAACATAGGCTTTTATATATTAATTAATTAATATTATCATTATTAATAAATTAATTTCGAGATAGGCTGCAAAATGATGGGCAAAGGCGATGATTTATGTTCAAGATAGGATACCCATGTGTTTGGGTTACTCAACAAAAAGAAAGGGAAAAAAACACTGAAGAGGATGAAACTCGGTCCCGATAAAAAACTCATAGGAGCGGCCTTAGAAAAACGGTGGTGGAGAACAACTTAGGATCCCGCCGACAGTATTTCGAGATGGCATGCAAAGTGGTGGGCAAAGGCGATGATTTGTGCAAAAAGTCATAGATGAGAACCTAGCGAACAATAACTAAACACAAAGGCGATGATTTGTGCAAAAAGCCATAGACGAAAACCTAGTAAACTATAACTAAACACAAAGGTTGTAGAATGGAGAGTGGGGTAAAAGAAGGACTTGGAACTTCTCCACTTGCACTTGGAGGAGTGTGAGAGCCACTAATGAATAGTAACTCAAACCTAGGCTTTTATATATTAATTTCGAGATAGGTTGCAAAATGATGGGCAAAGGCGATGATTTATGTTCAAGATAGGATATCCATGTGTTTGGGTTACTCAACAAAAAGGAAGAAAAGAAAGAAAAAAAAGAACACTGAAGAGGATGAAACTCGGTCCCGATAAAAAACTCGTAGTAGCGGCCTTAGAAAACGGTGGTGGAGAACAACTTAGGATCCTGCCGACAGTATTTCGAGATGGCATGCAAAGTGGTGGCAAAGGCGATGATTTGTGCAAAAAGTCATAGACGAAAACATAGACGAAAATGTTAGAATATGACTTGAATTTGATTTGGGTTTGTTTTGTGTTTTGGGCCTATTCTGTTTGGGTTTGGGATTGGGCTTTGTTTCGGCCTTTTCCTTGTAGGTTTGGAAAAGGTGTTTGGTTTTCTGTTTGGGAGTAGGAGAAGAGTTCTATAAATACTCTTCATCACCCTAGTCTGTTGTAAGGTCAGTCAGGTTAGTTTGTTTGGTTTGTCCGTTTTGAATTTGGTTTGTAACCTATACTCTCCTCAAAATCAGTGAAATTTGTTCTCCTTTGCCCGTGGATTAGCTAGCACACATTGTGTTAGTGAACCACGTTAAATTTGTGTTCGTTCGTGTTGGTTTGGATTATCGATTGCCACGCTTCTGTTCTGACAAGTGGTATTAGAGCCTGGTTGCGGTTTTGGGAATTTGGCGCTAGAGTGAAGTTTTGCTTTGTGGAGTTTGGTTGGAGTTTGTTTGATAGTAAGAATGGCTGCTATCAGTATGAAGATTGAGAAGTTTATAGGAAGAAACAGTTTCAGTTTGTGGCAGATCAAGATGCAAGCCTTGTTGAAACAACAGGGTTTGTGGGCTCCGTTGTCTGGAAAATCGAAGAAGGAAAGTATAGATGAAGAAGAGTGGATTACTTTGGAGGAGAAAGCTCACTCTACAATCTTGCTTTGTTTGGCTGATGACATCATCACTGAGGTTGCTGCTGAGAAGACTGCCGCGGGCTTGTGGTTGAAGCTTGAAAGTCTATACATGACAAAGTCTTTAACCAACAAGTTGCATATGAAGCAACGTTTGTTCAGTTTGCGTATGGAGGAAGGTACATCTCTCAGGAATCATCTAGATCAACTCAATACTATCTTGTTAGATCTGCGGAATATTGATGTTAAAATAGATGATGAGGATGCTGCCTTAATTCTGTTAGTATCTTTGCCACAGTCATATGTAGGGGTGGGCAACGGGACGGGACGGGATACCCGTCCCGTTTTAAACGGGTACCCAGTCCCATTTGGAGACCAAAGTCCATCCCATATCCCAAACTTATATGGGAAACGGGTACCCATTACCCATGCGGGACGGATAACGGGTACCCATACTACCCATAAAATACACAAAGTTTAAAATTTAAATGACATCACATTTTCCCACTGCATTTTCCCACTGCATCCCAAAGCATCCATTTTCCCACTGCATAACAGCGAACCAAAGACAAACAAAAGACAAAATCCAGCCAAACAAGGCAAACATCCCAAACCCAAAGCATCCAAACATCCAAAGCATCCATTTTCCCTCCGACCTCCCAGAAGTCAGAACAGAGAAGCTGCGCCTGCGCGTCCAGACCAGTCGTGAGTCGTCCAGAGAATTGGGCTGCTAGGGCTGCGCGTCCAGTCTCAAGTCAACTCTCACGGTCTCAGACTCCCATTGCAGTGGGTAAGGGCCGAAAATTATTGTTGAATTAATGAATTGGGCTGGGCCTGGGCTGATTTAATAAATCTGTCTTTGTACTTTGAATGGGTAGAACGGGTACCCATATTACCCAAACGGGTATTAGCGGGTAACCCGCGGGTACCCATATTAGGACAGTACAATTCCAAGTCCCATCCGTTTAAAATATTGCGGGTAATATGGGTACCCGTAACCCTTAAAAACGGGACGGGTACGGGTATACCCAAATACTCGTTTCCCGTTGCCCACCCCTAGTCATATGAGAATTTTGTGGATTCTTTTATTGCTGGGAAAGATAGTTTGTCTTTGGAAGATGTCAGATCTGCTCTACATACTAGGGAAGTTCGACATAAGGCGTCTGGTTCAGGTTCGGAAAATCAGGCATATGGGTTGGCTGCTACGAGTAGTAGGAGACAACAATCTGGTAATAGGAAGCCGAATACAAATTCGAATTTTGCTGGTTTGAAGGATGATATCTGTCATTATTGTAAGGAGAAAGGACATTGGAAATTCGATTGTCCTAAACTAAAGAAATATCAAGAGAAGAAGGAATCATCCGCTGCTGTGGCGGAAGAAACTAACTCTGATTCTGAAGATGGTTTAGCCTTAGCAGTGAATGAACAGGTACATCATCAGGATGTGTGGTACTTGGATACTGCAGCTGATTACCATATGTGTCCAAGCAGGGAGAGTTTTTCAACTTATGAGCAGATAGATGGAGGACATGTTTCTATGGCCAATGGTGCTATCTGTAAGATTGTTGGAAGAGGCTCCGTCAGGATGAGGACAAATGATGGTTCTGTTCGCACCTTGAACAATGTTAGGCATATTCCAGAGATGACTAAGAATCTGATATCTTTGAGTCTACTCGACATCAAGGGTTTCAGATTCAAAGGTGAAGGTGGAGTGTTGTCTGTCTACAAGGGTTCTAAGGTGATTTTGAAAGGTGTCAAGCGTGGTGCCTTGTATAATCTACAAGGTTCTGTTTTGACATGTTCTGTTGGTGATAAGTGCACTAAGTTGGTTCTGAATGGCAAGTCTCAACATGGGTTGGATTTGCCAAATGGTTTGAGTTGTTGACCGCCCTTAGGGGCATTTGGAGGCAGGGGAGATTCTGTTACGCCTGATTTGGAGGAGTTAGTACGTCTGGCAATTCTGATTGCATCTGAGTTTGGCGATGTCCATCGCGTTTGAGTCTGGTGATTTCGATCGCATTTGGATACGTCTGGCGATATGTATCGCGTCTGGGTACATCTGGCAACTTTGGTTGCGTCTGGTACATCTGGTATTTGAGAGAGAATTCAAGTCAAGGTGGAGATTGTTAGAATATGACTTGAATTTGATTTGGGTTTGTTTTGTGTTTTGGGCCTATTCTGTTTGGGTTTGGGATTGGGCTTTGTTTCGGCCTTTTCCTTGTAGGTTTGGAAAAGGTGTTTGGTTTTCTGTTTGTGAGTAGGAGAAGAGTTCTATAAATACTCTTCATCACCCTAGTCTGTTGTAAGGTCAGTCAGGTTAGTTTGTTTGGTTTGTTCGTTTGGAATTTGGTTTGTAACCTGTACTCTCCTCAAAATCAGTGAAATTTGTTCTCCTTTGCCCGTGGATTAGCTAGCACACATTGTGTTAGTGAACCACGTTAAATTTGTGCTCGTTCGTGTTGGTTTGGATTATCGATTGCCACGCTTCTGTTCTGACAGAAAACCTAGCGAACAATAACTAAACACAAAGGTTGTAGAATGGAGAGTGAGGTAAAAGAAGAACTTGTAACTTTTCCACTTGCACTTGGACAATAACTAAACACAAAAGTTGTAGAATAGAGAGTGGGGTAACAGAAGAACTTGGAACTTATCCACTTGCACTTGGAGGAGTGTGAGAGCCACTAATGAATAGTAACTCAAACCTAGGCTTTTATATATTAATTAATAATAATATAGTAATTAGAAAACGGTGGTGGAGAACAACTTAGGATCCCGCCGACAGTATTTCGAGATGACATGCAAAGTGGTGGCAAAGGCGATGATTTGTGGAAAAAGTCATAGACGAAAACCTAGCGAACAATAACTAAACACAAAGGCGATGATTTGTGCAAAAAGCCATAGACGAAAACCTAGCGAATAATAACTAAACACAAAGGTTGTAGAATGGAGAGTGGGGTAAAAGAAGAACTTGGAACTTCTCCACTTGCACTTGGACAATAACTAAACACAAAGGTTGTAGAATGGAGAGTGGTGTAAAAGAAGAACTTGGAACTTCTCCAATTGCACTTGGAGGAGTGTGAGAGCCATTAATGAATAGTAACTCAAAACTAGACTTTTATATATTAATTAATATATTAATAATGTAGGTGCAATGAAATTAATATAAGTTAGATTGTATGAATTATTGAGACTGCAATGATTTTGCAATTGAATTGATGTGGATGTAACAAAATTTGAAGTTGAGGATGTGTTTAGGAAAAATATTTATTGGAGGGTTTTGTTGAGTAAAACTCGTTTTTTTTTTTTTTTTTTTTGAAAGAGTTTACAAACTCTTTCATTTATGCATTATCACACATTACAAGAACTACTCAGCCGAAATTTCCATGGTTATTTTTGTATTGATGGATTTCATTACATAGTTGAAACTTTAAAGAAAACACTAAACAGAAGCTACCAACCTACCAATAATCTGAACAAGAGCAAACACCGTTCTTAAAGTGGTGAAACCGACCAGAATCCCTGACAACAATCTCCCGCCCAACAACTCCCGATATAAGCTTAATAACTTCATGGCAATCCCCACACACTCTCAAGTTCTTCATCACCGTGATCCCACTTCCCTCCACACTACTAATCAAAGCAAATCCAATAGCCAGCCTCTCACTGTGACACCACAGCATTTCTTCCTTCTGCTCATCCTCGACATCATGCAGCGCAAACCTTTGATCAGCCACGTACCCAACTTCCTTGAGTTTCTCTCTCAGCCATCTCAGCTTCTCATATATCCTTTCAATCAAAGGGTGCCCCCTGTCTCCTGAGACAAACTCGTGTTTCTTTCCCTTCATAACAACCCAACTGGATCCTCTTTCTTTGACAACTCCACCATGTCTCATTCGAACCCTGGTTCGAGAGACATCGGCCCATCTACCAGCAGAGGCATACAGATTCGATAACAAAACATAGGCAGCGCTACAATGTGGGTCCAGACTGAAGATGCTCTTCGCAGCTCGCTCTGCTGCATCGACGTTGGAATGAACCCTGCAAGCACTAAGCAAAGCTAGCCAGACCATCGAGTTGGGTTTCATGGGCATATTTTTCACCAACTCTTCTGCTTCATGCAGTTTCCCAGATCTGCCTAAGATATCCACCATACATGTGTAGTGTTGAAGATCTACTGATGCGGACTTGTATCGAGTGATGTACTCGAAAAAGCGTCTACCTTTCTGCAGCATCCCAGAACGGCTGCAAGCGGAAAGCAATCCAGTGAATGTGAACTCGTCAGGCTCAAATCCCGTACGAAGCATTTGATTGAAGAAGATCAGGGCCCAAATCCCACATCCATGTTGTGCACTTCCAACAATTATCGAGTTCCAGGAGACAGTATTTTTCCCCTCAATCCGCTTGAATACTGCAACAGAGTCATGTACGTTCCCACATTCAGTGTACATAACCAAGAGGGAATTGCCAACAGAGACATCGGTTTCAAGATCGAGCTTTATGGCTACTGTATGGACTTCTCTACCTTTGTCCACTGCTTCGAGCCCACGGCATGAGTTCAAAACACTAGTGAATGTAGATTGGTTTGGGAAAACCCCTTCCCTAATCATCTTGATGAAAACCATTAATGCATCCTCGTGTTTGGAGTTGAAAGAGTATCCTGTTAAAAGAGCTGTATATATTACCACGTTTCTGTGCAGGTTTAACTCGGAGAAAACCCGATTAAGCTCTTCTATTCTCCTGCAGTTGCCATAAAGTGTCAGAAGTGAAGCTGCGATATATTCATCAAACTGATAATAACCTAAATTAAAGAGACGACCATGGACTTGAATCCCAAGATTATGATCTGTAGCATTTGCACAAGCTGTGAGTGCCGAAGCAAATGTGGTGGAAGTGGGTTCAACTCCCGAACCTACCATCTTCCTGAAAAGAAGCAATGCATCTTCACTCTTCCCGTTCTGATCAAGCCCGCCAATCAAAGAAGTCCAGGAAACCACATTCCTGCGAGGCATACACTCAAACAACCTGAGGCCATCCTGGAGTCTCCCATTGCCGCAATAACCATGAATCATTGCATTCCACGCAGCAACATCCTTTCCCGGCATATCCCTAAACAATCCCTCGGCCTCTTCCACTCTCCCAGACTTCATATACCCATTCACCATAGTGGTCCAAGAGACCACGTTTCTTTCAGGCATTTCATCGAACAGCCTTCTTGCAGTACCCAAATCTCCACAATCCAGACACCCTTGCAACATGGAGTTCCAGGAAATCACGTCTCTGGTTGTCATTTTATCGAACAGCGTCAACGCATCGTCAATCCTTCCATTTCTCGTGTATCCGGTCACCATCATCGTGGATAACTGCACATCCGGAGCCGGCATTCGGTCGAAAATAGCGCGAGCTTGATCCAATCTTTGGCTCCTCAAGTGATGAGTGATCAAAGCTTTGTTCGAGGAAGTGATTGATCTCGCCCACTGCATCAAACCCATGAAAATTGAACCGAAATCCCTCGGGTGGGAACGAGAAAAGCAGTGAACTTTCGGCGGCGGGGAATGAGTTGAGATTTCGAAATCTGGCGCGAATTGGCAGCATCGTCTCCTTCCAGAAGAAGAGAGAGAAGCAAAGCTTTAAAACACCAACCCAACGACGCCGCTTTGAACATATTTTCGACTTCCTCATAAACGCAGTGTTTCAGTCGAAAAGTTCCGCCGCTGCCGGGGAAAGCATGGTTGGTCCGGCTGCCGGCGGCGGCGGAAGGGCCGCCCCAACGGGCAAGCGATCCTTTTCCATCTGGCAAAGAATATCGCTTTACATCGGAAAACAAGAGCTCCAAGAAAAGCCTAAGCACCCCACAGAAGGAATGTTCTGATTTCACTCTGCGAAAGATGTAATCGCCAAAGAAAGAATCTCCAGCCAGGGTTTGGTTTTCCCCTTCAGGCGACGGAATCGCCTTGAAGCTGAAGCAATGAGGCGAAGGGCTTTACAACTATTTTGGAATGAATTACAAAACCCAACGCAGCAAAAAAGGTAACAGTCCTGACAAGCAAAGAACCATAACCGTTCCATTTATAAGCATCGGTCATTTGCCGCCATAGGAGGACAGAGCGAAAAACAGAGTACTTCAATCTCTTCTTAGCTGCTCTCTTCCAGCCTTTTGCTTTTCCAACCCACAGATATTAATAAGCAATGGCGAATGATCAAATGAAATCCGTGGCATCCTTGCTCTTGGTCCTCAACTTCTGCATGTACGCCATCGTTCTGGGTATAGGAGGATGGGCCATGAACAAAGCCATTGATCATGGCTTCCTCATTGGTAAGTCATTGCTTATGTTTCCGGTTGGGAGAAATTTCTTCAATTTTCTTTATGCAAAACCTTGATTGCCACTTTTTCCGCCTTGTACGTTGTTGTAGGACCTGGGTTCGAACTCCCGGCTCATTTCTCGCCCATTTACTTCCCGATGGGGAATGCTGCGACGGGATTCTTCGTCACGTTTGCTTTGATCGCCGGCGTGGTGGGTGCCGCCTCTGTAATCTCCGGTTTAAACCACATCCGTGCCTGGAATTCCGATAGCTTGCCGGCTGCTGCCTCCGCTGGCACCATTGCCTGGACCCTCACTCTTCTCGCTATGGGGTAAGTACTCAAATTTCTCGCAACTACAACCAGAGCTTTCTCTCTTGAATCATTCAATCTTTCGACCCTAAACTTGAAATTGACTTTCAACTCTTTTGGTTTTCACAGTTTCGCCTGCAAACAGATTGAACTCGAAGGCAGGAACACCCGACTGGTAAGAAGACATTTTTGGATATCAAGCTTTCTTCTCCCCCACAAGTCCGCCATGGAGAGTAATAATACTAATATATATTTCTTTATCACTTTTTTGCAGAGAACCATGGAAGCATTTATGATCATCTTGTCAGCGACCCAGTTGCTGTACATAGCAGCCATTCATGGTGCTGCTTCTCTCAGGAGATGAGCGCAAATACCGATGTGTAGATGCATATGATCAGAGTGTGGTGTTGTGCCTTTTCTTTCAATTCTTTCTAGAGTGACCGTAAATTTGTTTGTTTATATATTTCCTCTCCTTCCTTCTTCCGGATTCATTTCAAGCCCCCACGATTCATTCTATTGCTCAGGGAGTGTGCAACTTTCCATTCTGTTGTGTGATTGATGATGGTATGTCTGGAGCCTTGAGTTTGTATTCTCATCAAACAAATAAAAATGAGAATTTGTGTTCTGTGTATAACCTTTCACCATTGCTTGTTGCTCACGGTTATTACTACCTTGAGCACGGAATGCCAAGGATCCAGCGTCTTCTTTGGTAGAAGCAGCAAGGCTAATTGCCGCTGGTTGCGGTTATGGGCATTCATGGTAAAGTTCGATCCAGAAAAGGATGAACCTACATTCTCTCTAATTCAGACCATTTTCAAATTATCGAGTTTCAACATAAAGTCGACCAGAAAGTTGATTTGGCAAAATCGACTAAAACATTGCACAGCCCTCGTTGCAGCTCCTTCTAAGTTCTAACGAAGGAGACGAGTAGCTGATAAAAGATGCTAACATTACCAACAATGAAACAAAAGTCGACGATGATCAATATAAACGAAGCAGGTACAACAAACACACTGTTCTATTGACACCACTGAAAAATCAACACACATCCTTAGAGAGAAACATAGTCTGTATGGTAACTAAGCAGTACCCTAGAGACTCCATAAAACTAGTGCTATGTTTCTAAAACCTTGTAAGAAAAAAGAAAAGCTTCCCTCTATAATATGTTCCTCGTTCTTTATTCAGAAAATTCATTTACCCTCCTTTTCCCTTTCTCAAAAGGACTTAACTCCGAGCTGTAACAAATCCTCCCCAATTGCCTGCCCATGATTCATCGAGCGTTGTGTCTGCAGTCAAAGCAAATGATTTAAGAACAATTTCTCATGGATTTAACACTGAAATCTTTGAATCTGCTACTTCAATGCTAGTAGAATTATCAGAAGAAACAATGAGATTGTGCCACCCACTTAAGCGACACGGTGCGTGGAAATTTCCTCAAAGCACGGTAATAATAGCCCGTCTCCAGATGGAACCATTCATTGAGGGTTGAATCATTTCCTCCCTCAAACGGCTCGAGAGGAGATTCCATTGGATACAACCTAGCGAAGTATGCAACTTACTGTGTCTGGTTTTGTTTTCTGATTGGCTCATAAATCAACTGGCACATTTAGAATGGCGACATCCAGGTTCCAGGATATCCACTCAATGAAACAGAAGAAAGCTAACAGCTTATCTATAAAATTAAAGACAGGATGTGGCTCAATGATTCAACAAAAGGCAATTGGAAAATAAGGCCCACAACAGCGATTGCACAGGAAAATAAATGTGGAGTTGTGATTTATGTTTACCTGGCATCACCGATCAGAACTAGTAAATGCATCCAATAAGCCACAGCAGCTAAACCAGGAGGTTCGTTGAGCTAAACGTGGAGCATTGTTGGCCACAAGAGGCTGTATAAAGAGAAAAAATTGTAGAGCAAAAACTACTAGTCACCAATCACCTCGTACCAAATAAAAAGGAACAAACTTGACGTTTTGACAAGACTTGGCATACCTGTTTCTCGATTGATTCAGAAATCTTGGTGTCTTTAGCGTAAACAGCACTAACATCGGTTTCAGTAGAAGCACGGGCACCCTGAGGAATACTGGTTTCAGCAGCAGCACCTAATGATGCCAATGTTTTACCTTCGGTAACAGTTTCGCTAACCACCTCAACATTCTGATCCGATGTAGGGAAAACTTCTTGATTTTTACCAGAATCCAATGGCACTAGCACTTCATTAGACTGATAAGATGTAGGCAACTTCACCTCATGATCCTTCAATCCTCCTTCAGCAATCTCAATAACCTCAGGATTCACAACTTCAGCAGCTTCCATCTCAGTGATAACTTCTTCAGAAATTGGTATCACCACTTCTTTTAGCTTATCCTGAACTGCTGAGGAGGACTCATCATCAGAAGAGCTGCTGCTGCTGCTGCTACTAGTTGAGCTTCTGTCACCATGGGAGGCCTTTTCAGAATCCATGTGCTCAAGGGTAACCTCACGGTTCTTGACTTCCTGATTAGAAGACTTCCCATCCTCCTCCCTCTTAATCACCTCATCGTCATGATGTGCAGCTTCATCACTTCGTCCTGCTTCTCCAGTTGGATTCTCAGCAGCAATCCCAGTTTTGCCGGGTAATCCATTGCCCTCGTCAAATGTATGCTGGCGATGAGGATTCCCTTCTGATCCTGGGGAATTCACCTCAGAGATATCACTATCCCTCTCATCTTCAACTTTTTGATCACCGTTTCCTGCATTCATTTGGAAGATAAGAAATAAAGAGCAACAAAGGACTTCCAAATTAAAGACAGGATACCGAAGTAATAGTACCCATGATGGCAAGCGAAAAGGCAAGGCTGAATCGGGTTCAAGAACCCGAACCGTCTAATTCAAATCACGCAAATGAAACAGACAATGCCAAGAACTAAACCATAATTTCCGGATACAAACAATGATTGACAATGCAAAGTTGATAAAAGCAGGCGCATGACAGCGAACCAACCAAAATCAGCGCCAAGTCCCAATGTTATTGGGTTAGATGAAACGACGGAGTGCACTTCACACAAGCAAATCAGACAACCACCACCACAATAAGGAGATAAATATCAAGATTGACCAATACGCTAACAGAGAACATTCTTGAGGAAATCAGCAATAGAATTCCACGCATCGCTCCACTTGAGATTCATTCAGTATCGAGATCGAGCAAAAAGCAGGACGATAGTAACAATTCAACTACACACTTATCCGAACAAAGAACAATCAAACAAAGGTGAAGAAGCTGCAAGCAAATACCCATCGATCCGGAAATGAACAGAAGGCGGAAACCCTTTCAAACTCAAGAATCCCAGAGCAATGGGGGTTAAGGAACCTAGAACCAACTCATCCACCACCACCACCACGAACAACTAACCGAGAGACGGCAACATATAAAAGGCGAGCAACGGAAAGTATGATTGAATGACAGATAGGCAAGGCGTGGAAAGGAGAGTGATGGGCTCTCCTACCCAAACCCACCCTGGAAAGGGAGTTAGCAGATCGTTTTCCCAATGAAAAAAAGAAAGGGTAAAACCAGGACCGACCTTGTGGGTTGTTCCCATTGCTGCTGTCGCTGGGATGGTGGTGGTAGGCCTGCTGTTCCTTCTTTTTCTTAGCAGCTTTCCTCTTCTTCGCACCTGATGGCATGATTGATTATCCCTCAAAACCCCCCAAAGAAAAAAACCGACTCTCTACTCTTCTCCTAAGAGGAATAAAACCAAACAGATCGTGGGCGTTGTTGTCGTCCCTCCCTCTTCGCGCCCCCACAGCCAGCTCCTCCTCCAAAATCCTCAAACCCCAGCCTATATGCCACCCACAAAGACAAAGGAGCCTGGCAAATTCCAGCTAATCGTGACAGTGAAGCAGAGAGGCAGAGCAGGGTAAGAAACCCCCTCCCAAAAAAAAACTATCCTTGTTTATAGTCTCCAAGGAAACGTGATTTGTGCGAGAGAGAGAGAGAGAGAGGGAGAGTAAAAAGCGTTATAATAGATTCTGCAGAGAGGTGTAGAGGAATCTGAATTGGTAGCGATGTGGAAATCGGGGAGAGGACGGAAGTCGGTGAAATAGTAGGGAGTGACTGAGAGGACGAGTTGTTTAAAAGCAAGTGGCGGAAAAGGGGAGAGCGTGTGCGGTCTGCGGGGAAACCCGAGTGCGGGTTTTTATGGCAAATGCAATTACTACTGCTGCCTGCAGAAAGAAGAAGAAGAAGAAGAAGAAGAAGAAGGCTTTGGGATTGTCATTGGCGAGGCGAGGGCTGGCTGCAGGGGAAGACGGAAAGGATAGGGTGGGTCATCGCGGGCGGATTTCTATTTGTCTCAATTCAATTCAATCACCAAGTCCTTCATTACTAATAATCTAATTTATTTATTTATTTGTCTTTTTAAGAAAAAAAATATATGATAATGACGGATTGAGGGAAATAAACAAGTGGCTTGGATTTCGCCATTTATTTATCAATCTTTTTTGTGAGTGTGGGGTTTGAATCATGAGATGAGTGTGCTGTGTTTTGGTAATTGATTGTTTTGTTTGATTGTGTGCTAATAGGATTTTCATTCTCGAGAGTTTGAGGCTTTGTGGCTCTCTTCTTTTTTATGTTTTCTTTATGGAGCTGCATCAACAGTGATCAGGTAAAGAAGAAGGTTATATAGCTGAGGATTATCGGATTGCATATATCGTTATTGTTGTTTAGGTTATTATAGTACAAAATTAGAATTAAAAATATCTTGATTGTAGGTTTTACACAGTTATATTGATAAACCCTTATATCACCGGCCTGTTTTGATTTCATTACATCTGTATAATAGTAGGTTAATATATCATTTTATTTTATTTTAATAATGCTACTAGTTACTTATGATATAGATTGTTGTGATTGGATTCGGGTTGCTCATTATCTCACACACCTGTCTCTTCTCCTTTGTGATTTTGGTAATTAACTACAGTCTGGTGAATTTTAACTTATATTTTTTATGATCTCGTGTAATGAGATTATAAAGAATTTTCGACAAAAAAAAAAATTATAACGAACAATCTATAGAAAAAATTAGCTTTTTCTGTTTTTTTTTGTGATTATTTTATTTAGTTATAAAGGCACAACCGCACAAGATTAGTGAGTGATGTTTAGGTAATGAGTAATGACTAATTGCCGTGACTGATAAAAAGAAGTAGAAAGGACTAATTGTTGTCAGATCCCGTATGGGGGGAAAAAGGGAAAAAGGCAAATAAAAGGCAGCGGTTTATATTTATTATTTATTTGTTTATATTAGAAAGATTTATATATGACGACTGACGAGTGGGTGGTTCCGTGGTTGTTGTATGACATGTGAATTTGAATTTTGAATTCTCATATATACAGAATAAAGTTGTTTAACAAAAAAAAAAATTTAGAAGTTTAACAAAATTAGGATCTGGTACATTCTCCATCTCCGCCCAAAAATATAGTTAGCAGAAGACACGTATGGTCAAGAAATAATTAGTTAATTACAATACCAGTATACATGAGTTTTTCCAAAAATACTATAAAAAGTTTTCCAAAAATAACACCTATTTCCGAAAAATTCCAAAAATACCATATTTTTCTTCATAAAATGGGTGAAATTTTTCGGAAATAGGTGGTATTTTTGGATTTTTTGTGTGTGGTATATTTGAAAAATTTCCTCGTATACAACATAGATAGAGAGTCTTTTCAATTTTTGGTGTTTGAGTCCTTAACGCTAAACAAGTTTCAAAATTTTGCAGTGGTCCTCGTCGGTCAGATACTTGGTTGAGAGTCGTACAATAATCTCCCGGTTGCAAAAAGTCTAAGCGCGCTAATACGTAAACCACGTATACAGGTCAGGAAAGCGGTGATTCAAAAACTAAGTGTTGGGGGCATGCAAGGAGGCCCGAGTGAAAAGCCCAAGTGGCCAAGAAGGGCTGGAAGTGTGGGCCTGGCAAGTGGGGGGCAGCCCGGCCCAAAAAGGGGGCCAGAGGCTGTAACCTAGAATGTGGGTCCAGGCCTAGGGGAAAAGCACATAGGGACAAAAGGGGAGAACGGTCAGGAGCGTACGGAGGGGACAAGGAATGGGGCCATGCGCCTCCGTGGCTAAAGCCAGTGTCAGAATGTCGGGGCACCTGAGGAAAGGAAGGTACAGTGCATTTAATGAGGTGATCACGTGGGGCGGATTCGGGGGGCACTGTTCGACCCTACCCCGAGTATAAATAGTGAACTGAGTGGAGCTCATTTACTCAGGTTCCAACTTCTCTCTAAAACTTGCACCTACTTCTCTCTCTAGAAAAGATCATTCTGACTTGGACGTCGGAGTGCTAACGAGCCCTTCCCAAGGGCTCGGTGGGGGCCTTTGCGTGCAGGAAGGGGGGAGTGCTAAGTGGACGTGCAAGCAAAGAAGGAGGCGTGCTAGAGTCGTCGGGAGAGGGAAGTTACGTGGCACAAACACTAAGCATTGCAAAAAGTAGTACAGGGTTTTTTTCCCCTTCAACCATTTTTGGCTTTACTTTTCTCGGAAATTTGAGATTTTATTTCGTTATTTTTATGCAAAAAAAATCTTACTTGCACTATGAATGATTGGTTACAGAAGGGACATAAAAACACTAGATTCAAAATAAGAGTAAAGTGTCTCCGAGTAAACTATCAAAAACAAACCGTGCCAGAAAGAAACACCGATTAAGAGCAAAAACAAAGAGCGAAATCAACCACTCAAATTATCTGAACACTTAATCCAAAGCAGTATACCCAAAATCCCTCTTGTGTCCAAACTCAAACCAAACAAAGCCGCACCACGACCAACATCAGCTCGACTGAACACAGGGTAGTCCATGACTATTGAGCACATCAACATCATATGCAGCCTCATGGGGATTGCTCAAAGACTCACAGTGAATCTCATACACGAGATTGTAAGTAGTTGTAAGTAGTGGAATACCAGATACTAATGTAAAAAACTAACAAAATTTCCTTTTCTAACAAGAAATTTCTACACTCAAATTTATAAATGTCACACAATGTCGACATTTGAAGTTTATGAAATATTTGTGCACAAATATTACACCACAATCAAGAACACACCAATATTGTAGCTAGGGGTGTCAGTTCGGGTCGGGTTTGGTTACCCGAACCGAAAAATCCGAAAATCCGAAACCAAAAATCACTTGAAACCGAACCCCGATCCCGATAAGGACTTGCGGGTTCCGGTTACTTGAAACCGGAAAATTCTTTATCGGGTTCGATTAAAGCAACACCGAAACCAGAAAACCCGAACGCCTAAGAATACGGGTTGAGTTCTATTCATTGGAGGTTTTCAGCCGGAACCCGAAAAACTGATAAGCAAAACCGAACCCGAAACCGACAAACCCAAAACCCGAAAAACCGAAAATGTATATAATCGAATCGGTTTCGGGTAAACCCAATAAACCGAATCCGAATGGACCCCCCTAATTGCAGCATATAATATTGATTCTTGATAAACAAACAACACATCCAAACCACTTCTCATTTTGGTCACATTTATTTATGGGTTAATTGCATGGTTGGTCACTGAGATTATAAAAAACGTTCAAGTTTGGTCACTCGAAATATTTAAATCCATTGGTGGTACTTCAGTTAACTAAAACCGTTCACGTTTGGTCACTCTCCGTCCAACTTTGTTAACTTTGGCTGATGTGGCAGTCAACTCTCAAAGTTGACTGTTAACCGAGTGACGTGGCAATTAAAAAATAATAAATAAAATAAATTTTAATCTATTTTAATATCCAACTCATTTTTACCATAAAATAAATAAATAAAATAAAACTATTATAATTATTAAATTGAAAGGGGCGCTTCGAAACCTCACCATCTCCTACTGCTTGCCGCCGGCGACAACCATGGAGGAGCTCCTGCTCACGATCGCCGACAAGTTCTGACGCTCAGATGCAAAATCTCTGGAACGCGTGTTGCACGTCGATTCAGCAGTTGGGTACCTAGGTTTGGAAGCTACGGCGCCGCCGGCGACGGAGCGACGAGGATTGAATTGAACAGTTGGGTAGAGAAGAGCACAGTGAAGATACCCCATCGTCCGAAGCTGTACACTCCGCCGAACCCTCCTTCTCCCAGATTTCCCGAATCCGCGAAATTGCGCGTCGCCCGGCTCAGTTCCCTGTAGCTGAATCGCTTCGGCCCCGTCCTGTCTCGAATTCGTCTTCCATCGTGACGTCGATTCCGTCTTCGTCGTCTCCTCTGCAAGCTCTGATTCTCCGGTAGAGAAACAGAAGCAAGACGAATCCAGCAATCAACAGGCCGAACGCTATCCCCAAGCCGATGGCTAATGCTGGTTTTTTGGAGGTTTTCGGGGTCGGCGTCTCCAAGGTGGAATCGAATGCTGAAAACTTTGTGGGTCTGCGTTGAAATCCACGTCGAAGCGGAGAAGCCGACCGTCACAAATTCGGGCAGGACTTCACGTAGATCCATAGCGCACGAAAGGCTGAGTCATCGTTGTGGGTTTTCGGCGTAGGCGAGGTAGACGCTCAGGTTCTTGGTGGTGGAGTTGTAATTCACCCAGGCTTTGGCCATCCTGTCGTCCTTGATGCTGCTATTCCATTGCTTGGACTCGACGGACGGAATCGAATTGACGTCAATCCCGATGTGATCGTCGCTCGGGTCCCATGAGTTCTGATTGCTGTCGAGCTCGACCGCCACGATCTAGTGGTCCTTGGTGGCGTTGAGGGCGGTGTTAGGGCCGAACAGGGCGAGGTACCCATCGGTGGAGTTGGCCGAGATCTCGGAGTGAGGAAGAAGGTCATTTCGTCCCCGTAGCGTTTGGTCAGGTTGGTGGCTTTCATGGTGAACGTGAGAAGGAGCTCCTCCATGGTTATCGCTGGCGGCAAGCAGCAGGCCAATGGTGAGGTTTTGGAGCCCCTTTCTATTTGATAATTATAATAATTATTTATTTATTTATTTTAGGGTAAAAATGAGTTGGACATTAAAATAGATTAAATTTTATTTTATTTATTATTTCTTAATTGCCACATCACTAAGTTAACGGTCAACTTTGGGAGTTGACTGCCACATTAGCCAAAGTTAACAGAGTTGGACTGAGAGTGACCAAACGTGAACGGTTTCAGTAAACTGAAGTACCACCAATAGATTTATATTTTTTGAGTGACCAAACTTGAACTTTTTTTAATCTCAATGACCAACCATGCAATTAAGGGGTCGTTTGGAAGTTGCGATAGTTTTGTTGAGATTGTCATTATGCATGTATTGTTTACAATGCATCGATTTTTTGTTTTTTTAGCAGAAACAATACATGGATTGTTTCTGTGATGTGACAGAAACTATCACTCATTTTGAGTGATTGTTATATCTCTACTTTTAGTTGTGATTGTTGAGATAGTTGAGTTGAGATTGTTTTGTCTCAATTTTTAGCTTATGCGACATACACAATCACACATACCAAACGTTGTATTCTACAATGC